TCCTTTTACTTCCTAAGGCTCCTCTCCCAGGACACCCTGCTTCCCCGATTCCTTCCAATCCCCTCCTTCCATTTGACCCTCAACAAATTTCTAGACTCACATTTCTTTCCCCAGACTGTAACAGAGACAGGGACAGTTCACTTAAGCAAAAGCACCAAAGGAAATGGGGGGAAGGGAGCACTGGCCGCTAGGGTACAGTGCAGAGGAAGACTGCTCGTCTAGCAACCAGTCTGGATTCAAGTCCCAGCATGGCGCGCACGCACACACATAAGTAGTAACAGTAAATAAGCAGATGATACAAGGACAGACATCTTTTTCAAATAATTAGCTGGTAGCCTTTCCTAAAAAGAAGTCAGGGACAGAAGGAGGTGCTAGCGGACAAGAGCAGGTCAACTCACGTTCTCTGAGGACGCAGCCTCTGGTCACTGTGCGGGATCAGAGCCACCAACTCATTGAGTTGCTCTAGAAAGGCAGCAAAGACTCATTCTGTAAAGCCCACATAGTGGAAGCCCTTCCTTCACATTTGCCTCAGACGGCCACAGCAAAGGCTCGTCTGGGACCCGACACTAAAAAGTATATTTTTGATGGCAGGAACAAGAAAATGATAAATGTAGAAATAAAAAAAAAGGAAAAAGGAAAGAATGCTGGGGAAAAATAAACATAAACCTATAGGTAACAGTACACATTATAACACTTTAATCAGAGCTGTCAGGGCTGTGGCACTGAGGTCGGGAAACCTGGATCGTATTCTGGCCTTACGTATTCTGTCTTTGGCAGTCACAGAATGTCCTAAACCGCCATTTCTTCACTTTTCATTTGGCTCTGGAGTACACGGCTTCCAAGGGTCTTAATAGATCTAACTCTGAGACTCTTAACCTCTCAGTCAATTTAGTAATAGTTGTTCCTAGAGATAACCTAGGCTCCACTCCTGAGCCTGTCCTCTCTCCCCTCCTCCTGGTATTCTGTTGACCTCAGGCAACTGAGCAACCCGTGCCTCTTTTTTGTAAAGAAGCTTCCAGGACTGTTCCTCCACAATGCTGTACCACTCCTTATGAACAAGAGCAATAGAAAAACAGCCTTGTCAACACAGCCCACAGCAGAGAAGTAAATGTTTGAAACCAGAGAGGGGTCAGTGTTGATCTGTGTTAGGAACCTGGGAAGTCTCAGGGAGGCACTGCCTAGATTAGATCAGGTTGGCCAGCAGGCGCGTCTGTGAGCGATTTTCTTAACGGGGTTACCGAAATTGGAAGGACCCTCCTTAAATGTGGGTGGCACCCGTTTCACGGGCTGGATCTTCCACGGGATGAAAAGGAAGGGGGAAACTGAGTACAAGCATTCCTTGTTGTCGGCTTCCTATGACTACAATGTGACCCGCAATCTTAAATTCCGCTGTTCTGACTTCCCCTCCGTGATGGACTATGACCTGGAGCTGTGAAGCAGAAAAAACCCTTCCTCTTCTAAACTGCTCTGTTAGGGCATTTTATCACGGTTACCGGAAAAGAAACCAAGGAAGCAATTATACAGTAGAAGTGACGAATGTTCCAAATATATGATCAAGAGAAGCCTGCAATCTGCCCAAGAGTATCAGGTCAGTCGGGCTGGCTGGCGACAATTCAGGGCAGTCTTGTGACTACAGAGGGAGGGCTGGCCGAAGCAGACACCAGAGCTCTCCAGGACAGTTGACAGGTCTCACCTGCTGGGACGTAGCCCGCTCCTTGGCAGGTGTGACAGGTGACGCTATTTCTCCCCGTGAATTCCACATAGGGGAACTGAGCGATGGCTTCCTCCTGCTCTCTCTCAGCCTGCAAGTCCTCCGGATTGCCATCCTTCTTTCGGTGACAAAATGTACGGGCAGAAGAGGAATGCTGAGACCCCATGTGTCATTTCCTACACGGGAAGGGGGAGCAATAAATGAGCGTGTGTTAGTGTCTATACCGGCCACTATAGGAAAAAAAAATCACTTCTACAAGAAATGTAAAATACTAAGTGACAAGTTGCTATTCTAAGTGTGGCCTGTAATTTCTACTGCGGCCCTCATTTTGCAAGTGTCCCGTGCCATCCACCCACCTCCCGCGCAGGTAGCTAGGAACTGGGACCGGCCCTCACTGGATCAGGCCACCCCTCACTGCCTGGGAAACCCAGCTCCCCAGTGGTCCAGCCTCGCCGCCTTCCTCCCTGTTTGCAAACTCTGAAGGGCGAACAGGCTGCATTCCGGGTAAACAAACAACAGACACCAAATTAATAAAAGGCCCCAGCGATCCCTCTCCTCCACTCCCAGCTGAGGAGGTAGGCTCAGGTCACGCCCCCCGCAAAAAGCCACGTTCCGAACGCGTTCACGTCTCCCGAGCCGGGGGAAGGCGGGCGCCCCCGGACCTGAGGCGCACCAACTCCGGGCAGTTACTGTCGGGACCACTCCTCCCTCCACCTGCCCGCTCCAGCAACTCTTCCGCACGCCTCCCGGTGCGCAGGCGCACAATGGCAAAGCTGGTGGCAGGAGGACGCGGGCGAGCGCCTGCGCCTGCACGCAGAGCTCTGGTGCGCCCCCTCCTGCCGCGCAGCTGCAGTACACCTAGCTGCCGGTAGAGAGCGGCAGAGAGCAGTGGAGTCGCTCGTGGGCAGGCGGGGGAGGGGCGAGCTCCTCTGCACCCGAGAAACGCTAGGGAAGGCTTGCTGGAGCTTCCGGATACGAGCGCTTCTATACAGGCGGAGGACGGCGTCTCCTGTGGCCAAAGCCATTCCCACAGCACAGGGACTCGGAAAGTAAAGAAACCTAACACCCAGATCCTGCCCTAGGTTCCGTTCAGGTTCTGGCGAGGATCTCAATGCTAAGAGCGTATGCAGACCCACTGTAACAGGGGCCCCAGTCACGGGAATGAAGCCCAAAGCTCAGTATTGCAAGCTGGTCCGATTTTAGGACTACCATCCACAAAAAAAGGTGTGATGGACATAAAGGGTTCGAGAGAGCCTCCCAAAGCTAAAATGCCATAGCAGCGAATGAAACAGGTGAAGAGGGCTAAACTTGAGGCAGGATCACCACAAGTTCAAGACTAGCTTGCCACAGAGTTTGAGGCCACGCAGTCAAGTGAGACCCCTTTTAAACCAAAACATAGAAAGAAAGAGAAGACTTGTTTTGATATCCTAAAACTGGATGAATGAGAGACCCCGTCTCCCATACCTCCTTATGTCACTGTGGGAATTATGGGTGGTTCCTGTAACTCAGTAGACCTTATCTGTGGACCACCGTTAGTATGAACCTGTAGTGTGAAAACAACAGCCACCATCCCACTTCCACCTTTGGTCCTCAGCCATTCTCTGAAATGTCTTTACACAGCTCTTTCTTTGAAATTTTTATGCCACTATATGTTTCTGACTTCAGTAAGTCTGATGATGTTGGGAGAAATGAACACTCAGCTCAGTTCCCATTTGCAGTTGGCTGATCGTGTATTGCTGTTCTGGCCAATGAGGGGTAAGAGTATAGAATTTAGGAGACACCCTTAAAGGAGGTGGAGACTCAAGGGATCCTCTGACAGTTCCTAATTGCACTTGGAGCTTGATATTAGACATTAGAGCAGCTGTATTGTGACCATGAGGCCGTGAGGAGTGTCAGACAGAAGGATAAAAGAAGTCTAGTCCCTGAAAGAATACCTGGCTACTGGGGTCTTCATGCCTTCACAGTGGGACGGAATCCGAACAAATGCAGAAGCTTTGCAAATAAAGAGCAAAGTCTTGTTTTGTTTGGATGGCTGGTTTTGGTTTTCAGGGTTTTTTTGTTCGTTTGTTTTGTTCTATTCTGTTTTGTTTGCTGTTTTGTTTTTCCAGACAGGATTTCTCTTATACCTCTGGCTGTCCTGGAACTTGTTCTGTAGACCAGACAGGCCTCAAACTCAGAGATCCTCCTGCCTCTGCCTCCCTAGTGCTGGGGCTAAAGGTATGTGCCACCATACCCAGCCAAAGTCTGGGTATGTACAAACTGCCTTAGCCACACAGTATAGGCCACATAGTTCCTAAGCTCTGCCAGCTTCTGCTCTTAGAACACCTTCTTCAAGAGAGAGGAATCCAGACCTGCCTGGCCTAGGCTTTCCTACATGAAGAAGACTCTGGTAAGTAATTCACTGTAGAATAACCCTGTTCTCTACCAAGAGATCAAATGGCCTCTAAGAAGCCCGTCCTCACAACGGTGTCCCCATGTGTAGCCTCTACTAGACATCCTGCTGATGCTAAGCTGCAAATAAACCTGACGTCCACACCATGGACGGGCATTATGGTGAGAACAGGGCGAAGCAGACGGTAGCAACTGGACCTGCCAGCTAGAGAGGAAGAAGAACCTGCTCCACAATGGGGGAGAAAGGCTGAGAACACAAAACCTATGGTCAGATAGAGGCGGGGCTTGGATTAGTGGGCAAGAAAGGTATCTTGGGGAATCACCAGTAGAACCCGGAGGCTCTTGACTGTCTGCTACTAAAAGTGGGGCTTGGGCAGACAGACCACACACCTGGGTCAATGGTAACTCACACCTGGAATCCAGGTGTGCAGGAGGCCCTCAGTAAATCCTTGCACAACTACCCAGCCTGGAGGCTGGCCAGCGTGGCCTGAGGGAATAGTCCCTGTATCTTCTTGAGCCCTCTGTGAAAGTCTTAATTGGCCAGCACATTCCTGAGGAGACAGCCATCGCTTCTCACCTGTGTCTAGCTTCCAGATTTGTCTCACCATCTGATCGATTTATGAGTAGCGGAGTCGCTGTAGACGTGAGCTCACTGGGGCTCTCGGGTGGCCAGGGCTGAGTGGAGCCACCCGAGCATCTCTGAGCTCCCAGCCTTCCCAGTTTCTCCACAACCATGATGGGACCTAGCCCTACAGACTGAGGATAGCACGAGTCCATAATGCTGCTCTTTCTGGAGGCCCTAGAAGAGGGAGAGCACAGCCTTAACCCCCCTCCCCCTCCCCCACTCCCGCTACTCAAGCAGGATGCTGCAGAGTTCTAAGCTGTTAATGTTCCCCTTGCACTGAAGGAAGCTAAGGACTTTCACTCAGAAGCATCCTTCAGGGCACTTCATTCTGCCCCTCTTGTTTATCCGTAGATGGGAAACCTGTGGAAGATTAAATGACAGTCAGAGAAAACAATAGGACCACTGCTTCCTCGCGGGTGGGCTTTACTGAGGGGCCTGCCTACTCGGCAGCCTTAGCGTCTCTGCTGAAGCCACTGTGGCACACACAGACTGAAGGGGCACGCGACTCCTTTGAAATTGTTTGTGTGTCGTTTTTCTCACAAGAACCTGAACTCTCTGAGGCCTGGGCTCATGTGTCTCCATAGTGAAGGCCAAGGGCAGTTCTGTAAGGCAAGGGAGGGAGAGAGAGAGCGCATGAAGAACTCTGCAGCCTTAGACGTGGGGTGGGAAGCAACTGAGGAACAGGGAAGCTGACAGCCACAGCTGCAGTGGTAGGAAAGGAAGGAACGCTGTCAAGGAACTGATACACATCCAAGCCCCCACCTAAGCCAAGCTCTGTCAGTCTGCCGCCGGTTCGCAGCCTCTAGACAGCTCTCGCAGAGCTGCCGGCTGCACTAAGAAGGAGGCCCCACTTGCAAATGCCATCACAGATCTAGCTCAGGGGTGTCCCATGAGTATCCTAACTGCAAGGGGTGTTAGAAATCCCTCCCCAACCTTGGGAACCCAGCAGAAATCGCATTTAACTAGAAGTCCAATTTAGAACCACCCCCAAGTGTAGCCTGGGGTTTAAAACTCCTTGATTGTTTGCGGTCAACTCTCCTTTCCCAAGGTCACTAAAATTCTGAGCCTTTTTTTTTAGACCCCAGGAAGCAGGCCACAGGAAGACCCCTCTTGTTTAGCCTGGGGCACACTGAGCTTTCCGTCCAGGGTTGCTGTTGTGATATCTGGTCAGTCCGCATTGGATGGTGGCCTTCCAGGAACTTTAGCTCTGTGGCATCCTGTTAGTCGGCCAGGCTGTGTGTCTTTAAGGCCTGGGATGATGGCCCTCGAATCTCCTGAAGAGTGTGGCAAACAATAGAAATGAATAAGTCAGTGCACGTGTGTGTGTGTGTGTGTGTGTGTGTGTGTGTGTGCATGTGTGTGCGTGTAAGAGAATCTTGGAATATAGACAGTGTCACGCTTACACACAGCATCCCTGTCGCATTTGTGTTCTTGGAAGCCACTGAACAGGAAGTAAATCAAGGGTAACTGAATGGAAGTAAAAAGAGATGGGACTGAGGGCTGAAGGGAGTCCTGGAAGATTAGACTCAAGACTGCAGAGAAGAGGACCCGTCGTTCCTTGTTGCTTCCACCAGGGGGCGCAGGAGGCTAGTAGACTGCACCTTGAGACTCTTCCCACAAAATCCTCAAGAGGACAGGCAGTGTACCCCTCCACAGAAAGGAAGCTGCGTAGTCGGAGAGAGGAAGCACACAACACAGACTTGCCTGCAGCTGCAGGTCGCAGGCTGGCTTCGTCTGTCTGGCACAGTGGGGTAGGAAGGGATTTTGGTGCCGCTGGCAAGTCTACCTTGAAACAGGTTGATTCTTGCAGCTGGAGGCTACTGCTGGGGTCTAGTCAATCCAGAACTGGAAAACTGCTCAAATTCCTTTACCCATGATGTCATGAGCCATGGGGAGGTTATTTGCACAGAGTCCTGGACGCGAGCGATTCTGTAAATCCACCCCTACCACTTAGACCTTCTACCTTGAACTAGTCAAGGCCAACTCTGTCTGCCAGGGGCCCGAGAGCTCTGGCTCTTGTACTGAGAACCAGCCTTAGGTTAGGCCCTGGGACACAGTGAGGAACAGGACACATCCAGGCACCTCACTCAAAAGGCAACAGACGTGCCTGGCAGTGATGGCACACACCTTTAATCCCTGAATTCAGGCAGAGGCAGGTGGATATCTGTGATTTCAAGTCCAGCCTGGTCTACAGAGATAGTTCCAGGACAGCTACACAGAGTACAGTTACACAGAGAAACCCTGTCTCAAAAAAAAAAAAAAAAAACAAAACAAAACCCCCCAAAACCAAATAGGACTGGCTCCATAGCTACTGGGAAACCCTGTCTTGGAAAACAAAACAAAGCAAAAACAACAGCAACAACAAAAAGGCAGCAGACAGAACTCTGCCAGCATCAAAAGTGCAGGCTCCCAAGCCTGAAGACCTAGATGTGAGTGCTGGCCCAGCAAGCCACCAGCTGCATGACCCTCACTGTCCTTAACCCTTTCCATACCTTGATATCCTCTTGGGGACAATTGTTGAAACCATAAAAAATTAATCCACAAAAGCTTTTAGAGCAGTGCCTGCCCCGCAGTAGGCATGAAAGAAAGGCCAACTATTTTCACTCGGTTAATTGTCCACCAACAGGTCCATAGAAACTCGCATCTAAGGCACCCACAGAGTCAGCCAGGCTAGCATCCTGACAGTTCTGCCACAATTTGGGGGTTAGTCTTGGGTATCCATCAGGTAGAGCACTTGCAGCTGGCTCCCAGATGTCTCAGGACATGGCCCATCCAGAGTCCTGGAGGTTTCAGATCTAAAAGGCTATGTGTGCAGAGGTTCTAGAGATCCCAAGAAAGGTCACGGGGAACAGAAGAGGACTACTTGTGTGGGTGTGGGTGTGCTCCTAGCCCAGTACACTCTCTTCTGAGTCCTGAGGTTTAGAGCTGTATGGCTATCCTGCTGGCCCAACCATCCCAAACAAGACAAGAAAAGACCAGGACACCAGAGAAAGGGGATACAAATCCCAGGGGTTGCACTGCCACGACTGGGCTCCACTTGCCTGGGCATCTTCCTTGGACCAGCATCCTTCATGGGCCTTGGGGCGTTGTGAGGATGGCGTTCCTAGTGCTGGCACCATACATTGGAAGATTCCCTTTGGGTCCTGTCTCCGCTTCATCTCTCTAAATCTGCCTGTGGGTAGAGCTCAGAAGACTGGCTGTGCGGCCAGATGCAGCTGTTACTTTCTCCATGAAGACCTAGGGAAAGATGCTGACCCTATTGTGGAATATTATTTTAATTGGGCAAAGATGTGTTAAATTTGTTTATGCTGCAGAATATGGCTTTAACTGTGTAAAGATGTGTTATTTTTGTTTATGCTGCAATTGTTTAACGACGCAAGGATGCGTGTTTAATTATGTAAAAAGCCTTGCATTTGTTTCACCTTGCCTGCCTAAGGCAGCTGATTGGTCTAATAAAGAGATGAATGGCCAATAGCTAGGCAGAAGAAAGGATAGGCAAGACTGGTAGGCAGAGAGAATAAATAGAAGGAGAAATCTAGGGTTGGAAGGAAGAGCAAGAGGAGGAGGAGAGAATGAGAGATGTACCCACTGCAAGAAGTCAGGCAGTCTGACTTCTGGATGGGCCATGTCCAGAGAAGCGGTGAAAGATATACAGAAGAAAGGTAAAAAGCCCAGAGGCAGAAGATAGATAAAGAGAAACAGGTTAATTTAAGTTAAAAACAACTAGCCAGAAAGAGCCTAAGCTAGGCAGAGCATTCAAAACTAATAAGAAGTCTCCATGTCAAGCCAGGTGGTGATGGTGCACGCCTTTAATCCCAGCACTCAGGAGGCGGAGGCAGGCAGATCTCTGTGAGTTCAAAACAAACCTGGTCTACAAGAGCTAGTTCCAGGACAGGCTCCAAAGCTACAGAGAAACCCTGTTTCAGAAAACAAAAACAAACAAACAAACAAAAAAAGAGGTGTCCAAGTCATGAATTGGGATCTGGTTGACGGCCCAAAAGAAAGTCTGGTACAGACCTTTCCTGGGGATCTTTCACTCGGAGATCTCCAGGGCTGTTTGTACAGCAGGCCCTCAGCATGCTCAGGGGTGGTATCTGGATTGCAGGCAGCCAAACTCAAGGATGCTCGTGTCCTAAAGGTAAAATGTAAAATGGTATGGTTATTGCATATAGCCCATGCGTATCCTATGCATACTTATAACTATCTCTAGACTGTACATAATATATAGTGCAATATAAGTAATTGTTACACTGTATTGCTTGGGGGAATAATAATAAGAACTTTGTTTCAGATGTGGTTGATCCTCAAGTCCAGTGGGTTTGAGGATCCGACCAGCCATAGATAAGGTTTTATTATTTCCTTGTATGTGTCATTGTCCAAGCACATGAGTAGGTGTGAACTGTGAGTGACAGAGGTCAACAGAGGTCAATATTGGTATCCTTCTCTACCATATTGTATTTATTTCTAAGGATAGAGACTTCATTGACCTTGTAGCTCACTGATTGGCTAGATTGGCTGGCCAATGAGCTCAGAGGATTTGCCTGTCTCTACCACACTAGGACTTAAAATGAACCATTATATTTAGAAATGCTTAGGCCAAGGTCCCCTGGGTTGTGAACACACCCTAATGCAAGCTGCCATCGAAGAGTCTGCTGCTAAGCCCTAACCTCCTTGTTATGCCCATTACTCTTTTATGAAGCCAGCTGTGTCCTCTGCAGCCTGGTACAGGGCCTGTCGCCTGGCATCTCTGCTGGCTGTTTGTGGAACTGGAGGTGGGTCTTTTGCCCTCTCTGGCCTGGGTACCACCTGCCCAGCCCTACAGGAGGCCTGTCTCCAAGGCAGAGGCCCTTCCTCCCACAGCCAGCTAAAGCCCAGGGCAACTTGGCTTGCCAGCTCCCACGTTCCAGACTAACTTTGGGGCTTGTTTCCAGCTGCGGTTAGATTTTTCTATTTGAGAAATATTTTAAGCAGCTGGTGGAGAAGGGAATCATAAATGAGCATGTGAAAGGAAGGTTGTCTGCATGGCTCGAGCGGTCTCTGCCCACAGCTTGGTCCCTGGTGGTGATAGAGGGGACACTGGTGACTTCCCCGGACAGGAGAAAGACTCTGGGCCCTCGGCAAGCACTTCGTGGGGTTGCTTGTGAAACGAAGTGCTTGCACTTGGAGTATGTGAGGGAAAAGGTAGACGAGACTGAGGTTAAACACCAGGGAGAACTGATTGTCAGAATCTAGGCCTCAAACCACAGGTATTTACCCAAGACCCTGTCTTTCCCCAGAACGCAACTTCCTTGTCTACTCTCATTCTGTAAGGCCTCAGGCAACCCCCACCTGGCCCAGTGGCTCTTCATGCAGCTAACAGCGTAAGTAAAACTTTCCCTCAGCTTCCCCTCCTCCCCATCCTCCTCCCTCAGGTTTATCGGCTTCTTCTTCCCTCTTTACCTTGCTCTTCATAGCAGCGCTGGACTTTGGGGTTGTCTGAGGAAACCTTCTCCTCAGTCACTTTCTAAGGGACAGACTTAATGAACCGGCAGGGACACAGGCCAAGGGCCTGGATCAGAATCTCTGGCCACCCTACAGGAGGATGGCTGGGATGGATGGTGGACACAGAGCTCTATAGAAAAACTCAGGATGGGAGAGAAACCAAATCACATAGTCAAACAGAAGCAGAGTCAGGGAGAGACAGAAGGAGGAGTCAGCTGTGGGGGAAGGAGAGGACAGTCACCAAGCAGGCCCTGGCTGGCCCGCATGGACATTCCTGTGGCCTCTGATGGCAGGGTGGGCTCAGCCCTGAGGGCTCCTTGGTGCCAGTGTGGGGGGCCCAGCATGGGGTCTCTGGCCAGGGTGGCAGGAGGGCCTGCCCTCCACATTTCGAGTCTTCTAGGGACAGCCTCCCTTGGCTGGAGAAAGCCTGTTGGCTAGGGTGGAGAAAGTGGGTGTGGACCTTGTACAACCAAACTTTAGAAGCCTTGAGACGCTGTGAGTCTTGAGTTCTTCACAGTCTAGGGCAACCTAATATGGGGGGGCTGGGGATCTTCATCTGAGGACCCCTGGCAAAAAGAGGGGAGGCCAGTGCAGTAAGAAGTGGACAGATCAGGGGTAGCTGACCCTGAGGACAGAGCGGGGGCTATTGGAAGATCTGGGGTGGTGATCAGGTAGTGGGCAGCAGGACAAGCTCAGCCAGCCAGTCAGGGGGAAGAGGGATGCCCAGCAGTCTGCCCTGGGGACTAGCCCTGGGGAAAGTGACACAAATTTGAGCAGACTGACAACCTTCTTAGTCTCTCTCCACGTGCTCTATACCCCTTAAGCCCCACTACCTTGCCAGGCAAGACCCAGCAAGGGAAACAACAGCCTTTGAATTTGAAACAGCTTCACTCAGCCGACCCTTGCCACTCAGCTAATCAGGCTACAACCCTGTGACTCTCCACCCTGGGAAGCTGGGCAAAAATCAAGCATCCTAGAAACTCCCAGAGGTAACAAACAAGGGACTGTTTGCTTCCTGATACTATTTTGCACTTAGACCTCACGTGTGAAGTTTCCAAAGAAAGTACGTTTTCTTGTTCACCGTGAAAACAGAACACGTGTGTATAAAATATATATGTATAGTTTGAAAAGCATCACAAATGAAACACCTATGCTCTACCACCCAGGTCGAGATCAACCATTACCTCATCCCGGAAGTCCTTGTCTTCATTCCTCTTATCCCATATGCACACTCTGACTGGAGATTGTCATTTCCTTGTTTATCCTACAAAACATTTAGAGTTTCTTAGATATTGTCATCTTTGGGTTTCACAATGGCCTTATTATTCCCATCTTATAGATGAGGAATCTGAGGCTTAAATTAAAATAAGGCCACCAACAAGTATGTGGCAGGAGCGAGTCATAGTTGGCATTGACTTGTGTCCTAGGACGCCTTGTCTGTCAAACAAAAGTCTATAGTTAGCTCCAGGGCAGGCCGGGCTCCGGACACAGTTACCCTTAGCTCACCTCAAACTGCCATCTCTCCTGCTTGGTGAGCACCTAGTCAGAAAGGGTGGAGGCCTAGGGAAGAGACAATGGAGGCTAGGAAACAAGAGAAGTTGGGGTTGATCAGGAATGGGATTGGTACCTGAGAGTGCTTTGGGTATAGGCTGAAACAGCTAAGAATGCACAGGGCTGTGGGTGTGCACTGAGCTCCCAGGTCACTGAGTGCCCAGGGCTGTGTGTGTGCACTGGGTGCCCGGGGCTGTGTGTGTGCACTGGGTGCCCGGGGCTGTGTGTGTGCACTGGGTGCCCGGGGCTGTGTGTGTGCACTGGGTGCCCAGGGCTGTGAGTGTGCACTGACCACTCAGGGTTGTGGATGTGCACTGAGCACCCCCCCCCCGGGGCTGTGTGTGTGTGCACTGAGCGCCCAGGACTGATAAAAGATTCAAGTATAAAATCCTCTCTTCTAATCTGAATCTGCATCTCCGCTACAAGACTTTACCATTTATCTTTCTGCATTTCTTCCTCTGCTATTTAGAGCTATGGTTACATTGCTTGGGAACATATAACCAAATGTAGTAGAATTAGGGTTATTTATTTGTATTTATTTGTGGTGTGTGTGTGTGTGTGTGTGTGTGTGAGAGAGAGAGAGAGAGAGAGAGAGAGAGAGAGAGAGAGAGAGAGAGAGAGAGATTCTCTGTGTAGCCATGGCTGTCCTGGAACTTACTCCACAGATGAGGCCTTGAACTCAAAGAGATTCCCCTGCCTCTGCCTCCCGGGTACTGGAATTAAAGGCCTGCGCCACCACACCTGACTCAGTGTGTTCTTCTATTGGTTAAACCTTGTTGACAAAAGGGTTTGTCTCACTCTGAAGAGTGTCACTAATGGACGTGGCACCGTGTGCTTTTGGCAGGGAGGGTACGCCTCCCTGTGCCTGAGAGAGGACCAGTAGATTGACTTCAGAGTGTGAACCGCACCCCAGAAGCAGTCTTGTTCTAGCTGCCCTTTGACCTCTTACAGAGTCCAGTTCTGCCTTTCTTAATATTCTTACAACTCCACCTACCCAAAGTCCATGCCTCCTCCCCCTGTCCTGGGTCTTCTGTTCTCTTCCTTCTCCCCTCTTGATTCTTGACCTCTGCACCCCACTGCCTGTAGGGGTCTTCTGGGCGGGCTCCCTGGCCCCTGCACCTGACTTCAAAGAGACAGAAGGAATTGGGGCTGAGTGACCTTGAAATAGGAAGATCCATTCAGAAGTCTAGGGCACACACTTCCTTCCAGGTCGTCCTGGGGGGAGGCAGGCATGGCCACGTGCGCATGACAGTTTCCTGTTTCCCAGAAGGCACCGGGGGTGGGGACCGTGCCAGGTAGGCATGGTGTCCCCGCCCCTGTGCCAATGTCATGGAAAATCTGAAGCCTTGATCTTTGTTCTTGATTGTTCTCTCCGGTTTTTATAGCTGGAAACTTTCTCGGCATCTTTGTTCCCATCGGCTTGGGAGGGAGGAGTGCAGGGGGAAGGAGGGAGGGAGGAGGCTGAATGGGCAGCTGGTGGAGGAACTTGGTACTTCCTTGGACCAGCATGACCCCTTCTCTCTCACACATCCACAACTCATACAGTTCACCTACCAACAGCCTGCCTTTCCATGCCAGAGGCAGGGATGGGTACCGTACAGTCCTGGCTGCCCTTCCTAGGCAAGCTGGCTTCTCGTGCCCTGGGTTGACCCCTTGTTACCAGGGCTGCCGCCTATCTCTCTAACACCTGGCGACAATAGGTTCCCAGCCCTTCTCCTCCTTCTGGGCAGTTCTGGCTTCTGTTGACTACAGGATTTAATTTCGAGTTTATGGCTAAGAAGCTGCTTTGTGAGGGAGCTCACTCCCTCTGCCTCTCACCGGTTTGCTCCTTCATGCTCCACTTTGATGGAAACTTCTTGGGTCAGTAGCTCTCACCTTTCTTCCCTCCTTCAGGCTGGTACCTCCTTTCCCTCACAACCCTGTCCAGAAGACATAAATGCAGCCGGGACTGAACCCGGAACAGGGCCTTGCTCTGGCTCCTGGCGTGACCTGGAGAGACTTGCTGAAGTAGAGTCTCTGGTCCCTGCCGTCTGTACTACTTTAGGAGGCTGAAGCAAGAGCACCACAGGCTTCAAGGCCAGCCAGAGCTGTAGAGCTAGTTCAAGGGTATCCTGGGACCTCAGGGAGACCCTTGTGTTGTCTTGGAATATAAAGTAAAAAAAAAAAAAAAAAAAAAGACTAAGTGGTAGAGAGTACTTGCCAAGCAGAGACGTTAGGTTCAATTCCTACCCACACCTCCACACCACACGCACAATTAGCAATGTTCAGTCGATGACTCAAACTCTTAAGTTTTGTGAGAAAACCGAACTCAGGCTCACTGGTTAAAAGTGCTTACTGCCAAGGCTGACAGCCAGAGGTTGATTCCCGGAACCTTCGTGGTAGAGGCAGAGAGAAGTCACTTCCTGCAAATTGCTCTCTGACCTTCACGTGTGGGCTGTGTCATGCTTACATGCAATGATAATAGGATAAGGTATATTTAAAAAAAATTCTAAAAACTGACATTTCAGGGCAGAGGGGCCTGCGATGTAGAGTGTGGGGTGTGCGTGTTGGGGTCGGTGTGCTTCAAGCCTTCAAGCCTTGGGAGAGACGTTAGAGGAGCTGGAGTGGCCAGGACCTGCTGGGCAGGCTGGGAGTAAGGGAGACTGCCTGGTGGGTGTGGTCAGAGTTGGAAGGGACATGGGGTTAAGGAGTTGGGAAGTTGCTTCTGGATCTTGGTGTATAGGCCTGCTCTGTCTCTCTCGGGCTAGCTGGGGCCTGGCCCCATTCTGCCACCTGCCTGTCTGTGTATTGTGGGCTTGGCTGCAGTTTGGAGCAAGTACTAGCTATGATCTTGCTGGCCTTGGGCCACTGATGGTTTTCCATCAAGGTGGGATCATGTCCAGAGCTCCAACACTGAACACTTGAGGACAAGTGTCCCTCGTCCCTGTACCTCACCTCATCAGCCTGTTGTAGAGCTTCCAATAAGCCCACGCTGAAATGAACTACACTTAACAGAAGGTCATGGAGAAGGTAGCGTCTGGCAGCTTCCTCTGTGACCTTACAAGGACAGGGACCTCAGTTCCCAGCCCCAGGGCCAAGCTCCCTGCTCCATACCCAGGTCTGTGGCTCTGAGTGCCAGCTTCCCCATGGCAATGCCTTGTACCTTCTGGGAATCATTGCTGTTGTCTAGCGGGTGAGTGAGACTGCGAAGCTCCCTGCTTGGCCCTGCAGACCAGGCCTCCACCCCCACCTCCCATCTACCTCTCTCCCCAAGCAGGATAGATTATTTTCCTTACTGCAGATCCTGCCAATGCCTTGCCCTCTTCTCCAGAAGTTACTCAGTTACAGTGCCGGATTTCTATTTCCAGAGCAAAGGCAGGTTCCTCCTCCACACACCCTCCTGATGCTTACCCTCCATTCAGTCTGGGGAGGGGCAGGACCAAAGGCTGGGACCAAGTCCAGGTCCAAGGTGAGCAGGGCATGCAGGGGAGAGGGTGAACTCCGTTCTCCTTTATGTCACCACGATCCTGCTGCCTCCCAGCCATCTTTAGCAGCATGCAGCAAGCTCTACCCTTTGTCTTAAAAGTCACCCCCTCCAAGGCCTGTGCCAGCCCTGTCTGCATTGCCCTGGACATTCACTGATGTCTCCTGATGAAGGAGAGTGTCCTTGCTGCTTTTTGTTTTGTTTTTGTTTTCTCAGCCATCTTTCCCCAGACCCCGTGCTGGATTCTGTTCCCAGAAACCACTCTGCCTCACTTAACCCTCCTCCCCCCATCCTGAGGTACCCCCTCCCCAGCTCCAAGCTATCCTCCCTTCCGAGGTCCCTCATCCCCTGGCTCTCAGCTTAAACTTGGCACTCTGAGGATGTGTCCAGCCCACGAGAAGTGAGGGAAGAGAAATGGGTCACCTTCACTGTCAGTTTGACTGGATTTAAAATCATCTGGGAGAGACACCTCAGCGTGTGTCTGTGAGGATGCTTCCAGAGGGATGTAACCTCAGGTGGGAGGACCCAACCTGCCTGTGAGTGGTACCATCCCATGGGCTGGGATTAAAAAGAGAAAGCCAGCTGAGCATTAGGGTTCATCCCTCCCCCCCCACCTCTCTCTCTCTCTGCTTTCAGATTGGAGGAAGACACATAGACCAGCTGCCTCCCACTCCTCACCTTTCCCTCCCCAAACTGTGGGGCAAAATAAACACACCCTTCCCTAAACCATTTTTTACAGGTATTTGGTCACAGGAAAAGGAACTAACACAAGCAAGCTCTGAGAGCCATAGACCTGGGTATGGAGCAGGGAGCCTGATCCTGGGGCTGGGAACTAAGGTCCCTGTCCTTGTAAGGTCACAGAGGAAGCTGCCAGATGCCACCTTCCCATGGTCTTCTAATAAGGGTAGTTTATTTCAGAACAGGCTTATTGGAGGCTCTACTACAGGGTGATGTTACCATACTGGTACAGAGAGGAGTGACACTTGTCACTGTCCTCAAGTGTTCAGTGTTGGAGCTCTGGACATGACCCCATTACTGACTCCACGGCCCCCAGACACAAAGTTGGGTACCTCCTATGACTTAATCTCTATTAGCCCCAGAACAACCCTATGATAGAAATTATAACCAACGCTCCCTAAAGGAGGAAATGGATGCATAGGTGAACTGTAACTTAGCAATGGTTGGCTAGGTAGTCAACAGAAGAGCTGGGATGGCGAGCTCTTTCTGTTCCTAGGCTCACAACTGTCATTTTCTGGTGGGGACAGAGGCACCAAATGGGGGAAAGATTGTCGTCACATCTGGCAGAGCTCCACAGACATTTGGTAGATGAGGGCATCAGCACACATCTGACATAAACATTTTCTGTGGTGACCTTTGTTCCGGGAGGTGTCAGCCTTGGAGGGAGACGGGACTAGTGAAATGGCAGCAGTGGCCTAGCAGCTCTCCACCCTAAGGGCTCTGTCCTTCTGCCTCCTGGGCTACAACTGGCTGCAGTCCCTTTTCCCTGTCAATCTCTGGAGTCATCCTCAACTTCTTCCCACTCTAGAAAGGCCAGGTCCCTCTTCTGTTGCCTGCATCCTCAGGGGAGGCACATGGTTCTTCTTCCACCTTCCCTAGGGTCTCCCATACTGAAGTATAAAACCTCCATCAGGCTTTGTGTTCCCACCCCTTAGTGACATTTGTAGCAAGGTGTC